CAATAATCATTAAATTAAACACATCTTGATCCCTGGTTTATGCTCCATCAGCACAAACCAAAAACTCAAGCTTTTGTGCATACTGAAAAAGCAATGCTGCACCCACTGAAACAAGGCACAGGGAAGTCATTTGAAGGTCAAGGTCTCTTGGAAAACAACTGCAGGATTAAGAAGGAATTGCATTAAGAAAGGAGGAAGAGTGAGGACACTCTCACACACACCTTTTTCCCCAAACAGAATTTGAGAGAATGTGTTTAGTACTTGTGGAAGACATCAGCAACATCATCAACCACACAGCACAAGCCTCCCCCACCTGTCAGCACCACACATCCTGCTGGCTAACTGCACTGCCAATGGGATCAGCTGTGCCAAACACTTAGCACAGTTCATTAGCACCAGGTCCACTCAAAGGTGTAACACAAGCTCCATTTGTGATGACTTGGCATTTTCCCATACCAGTCTTGTCACTGAGGTCTCTCTCCCCATCTGTCATTTGTACCTGAGCCACCCAGAGCACCTGGATGTGTGCAGTATGTGTGTAGGTACAGCATTCTAGACATGTCAGCTACACTTCACTCAGGTGTAAGCACCTGGTTGGTAAGAGATAGCTGTCAGATCTGCCTATATGTACCACAAGATTGTGATGTCTGCACTGGTCCCATTCTCCCACCACTCAAGACATTTCTGCTGGCCATTACAGCAAGGACAAGGTCATAGTGTGACTGATTCTCACAACCTCAGACCTGCATCCAACAAACTGAATTAGACTGCACAAAAGTGTCATTATTTACCACCTTCTTTCTTTTCTACTTTAACTTGTAGCACTTCTCCCACAATAAAGGTCCTCCTGAAAAGCTTCACAGTAGCAGCTTACAATCAAGTGATTTCATATAGTGTCTAGTCACTTCTTTCTACAGTAGACAACAGTGCAAGGACACATCACAGGCACAAGGCAGACCATATTCTGAGAGGAGAGTACAGTTTGGGTTATATGTTGGTTTAACTTATACATACAGAAAGAAAAGAATCAACAAGAGTTAGGGAAAAAGATCCTCACTGCTACTGTAGCAAAAAAACCCAAATAAATCACAGCAAACCCCATCAGATTTCTCAGTTCCATAAATGAAAGATGATCCTCACTGCTACTGTAGCAAAAAAAAACCCCAAAACAAAACCCAAATAAATCACAGCAAACCTCACCAGATTTCTTAGTTCCATAAATGAAGGACATCCAAACATTAGTATGTTCATTCTTTAAAACCCTGAAGCATTTTAACTTGCACACAGGCACATTTGGGTCTTCTTCAGCTCTGCACTTCAAGAAACACAGAGCTTGGAGAACAGAGCAGTGAACAGGTAACTGAACATTCAGTGCACCAGCTGCCAGGGTCACAGAGCATTGGAACTGGCAGAATGTGATTCACACAGTCCTGCAGTCAGAGTGGTCTCACAACAGGTCAGAAGTCTCGCTCAGATGTATAAACTGCCTGAAATAAGGTGATTTTGCAGATCCACTGCCACACAGATCCTCAGCTCTCCAGCTCTTTCATTTTCCAGGGAAACTGCTGTATTACTGTCTCCTGCAGACATCTGTGCAGGAGTAACATCAGAGGAGCAGAACTTGGCCCCATGGACATGTTTCAATCTCAGTAAGACCATTGCAAATTCACCTTTCCAGTTTAGAACTTGTTACACAGGTTGATCTTACTGCGAAGAAAACCTACCAACCCAACCACTGTGAGCCACACTTAAAACTGCCTTAAGAGCTCTCACCCACCAAGTTGCTGTTGGTTTTATCTCACAAATTACTTCAACATAGAGCTGAACAACCTTGCTGCTGCTTTAGGTGTGTAGGAACAGCGTCAGAAGAAAAGGGCTGACAATGTCAGTGACACTATCTAAAGCTTTAGTTCTAAAGCTTCATTTTTTCTGCTAAGCTCTATCTCCAGACCCCTCTCTATAGTAATTACCCAGGCCAAAGAAATGCACCTCCCAGAAAGACATGCAACATCCATCCAACACCTACAAACACCTGTCTTCAGACACAACAGTGCTACTGAAGGTTTGATGTTCTGCAGGTTTTAGAGGTGACCAACTGAGGGAGACAATGCACTGAAAGGCTGCAGCTATGCAAGACTCAGTTGCCCAAGTCAACAGCTACAGCCAACAGTGCACACACCAACTCTGCTTTCCAATATTCTCATACCCACTTCACAGAAGCCATAATTTCATGTAAAGGAGAACTGCTGTTTGATGAAATAAATCACAGCTTTCACTCAGCCACTCCTGTCCCCTAACTGACTGTCCCTGTGCCCTGAACAAACCCAGTGAATTGATTTAAGTTAACACAGCAAAAAGGGGAAAAAAAAAGTATGTGTGAAAGAGGAAAGTAAGTTTTCAGCCAAATCACCCTGATGTCCATTCTGTGACGTAAATGCACCAACACCTGGGCAGCAGGCAGACAGTGAGGTCCCCAGGGTCAGGACAAATGGCTGGGCTGGAGAGGCCAGACTGCTCCTCTGCAAGCCTGGGCCAGCTCAGCAGCATCTGAACAGCTCCTGCATTTCCTAGAGGAGCCTCCCTTAGTTACAACTGTCAAAATTGAGTTTGCCAGACCTGCAGCAGCCCTCAACAGAAGGCACAGGAACAACACTGCACATACAGTTCAGGTTTGCTGAGCCCAGACAGGTACACTGTGTTCTGCACATCACCTCAGCCAGGCTGGTCCAGGGTGCTGACTTAGCAAGCAAGTTTGACTTTAAACTAGAGGCCTCAGAAAGAGCAAGGACCTCTGAGGTAAATGCTGGATATGTATGCTAGTGGATCTTGCCTTAAAGGCTCTAAAAACTTAAGGACCAGCCTGGCTGAGAAGAGACCTGGAACAGACCCCCTGACTCCATGCTGCTCTCACAAACTCCCAGGTATACAGGGTGAGGAGGAAGGAACACCCCTTACATCCTCTTCATGTACCACTTTTCCTTTTGTTCAAAGCTACCTAAAAGCTCAACCTGAAGGTGCATCTGCTTGACCCCCAGGCTGGCTGGGACAGTGGCCAGCAGCCCTGCTGGGCCAGAGCCCCAGGGTGCATTACCAGATCAACTTGAGACACCTGCCCAGGGCTGAGCCTCCACCTTCCCATGCAGACACAGCTCTCCCCATCCAGCACAGCCCTGAGGAGATCCTGCCAAAGGGATATGCAGGGCCAGAGAGTCAAAATCACAGTGGGATTAGCTGTCCATAGGGATGCAGCAGGCATAGCACTAATAACAACAGTGTCAGAGGGGAAATTAAGTCTCCTGTCCCTGGGACTAAGCTAGTTTAATCATTAGAAGTCAATATTCAGGGCTGAAAATGGGAGACTACCCCACTTGCCTCTCAGCTGTGAGTGCTGGCCAAAGTCAGGATACCATGAAGCTTTTGGTGTCTTCAGGACTCCTCAGCTAGGACAGCCCTTTGGTAGCTGAGCCCCTCCAAGTCATTCCCCCAAAGGCTGCAGAGATTCCAGAGAAGTTATCCCCTTGCTTTACCCACATCACTTTGCCACATGCAGCCTGCCTCCTACCCTACCCCCCAGGATACCACAAAAGCACATTTGCTTTGAGAATCAGTGGGAAAATATAACTGAAGACCTGCCAAATGGCACATCTGATGAGGGGAAGCCAGAATTCCTGAAAAGGAAGCAGTGTGTAAAATAAACGAAGCTGCAACTCCTAAGCTCCACAGGCTTTCCAGAGCTCACACTCCATGTTGCCTTTGCTTAAACAGCAGCATATCCATGTTCTGTACTCAGCCCTCACACACAGCTCACTGCATGTCCTCCCCTACTCCTCCCACCCACAGATAAACAGGCTCTGCAAACAAAGTTTGAGCAGATAACTGTGGAAGCTCTGATGGAAGGACAATGCTATTCCCTGTGGGGAAGCAAAGATACCCAAATAATGAAGCTGTCTGCCTGGGATGCTACTCTGGTCTCTTGAGGAAAGGCTCAAGTATGTGCCTTACAATTAGTTTATTTGTTATTTGTGTAACACATCCTTATTTCTATTCACTGAAATTATTAATAGGTTCATTCACTTTTTTTTTTTTTGGCTCTTCTTTAAATCAAAGCCATTCCTGTTGGGTAAAACAGTCTGAAATGCAATTTACACTGACAATGTAAAACAGCCTTACTGTAAACACACACCTACCCCCTTCACATTGCCTCCAATGATCAGAAACAATAAAACAGCTATTTATGAAACAGAAAGATCAATCTAGGATGCACTTCTGCAGGGGACAGACTCATGGTACAGCTGGGGGGTGGGAAAGTTTGAGACAGTGCTACTGGCCTAAAGGGGTTTCAGTTATTAACTGTGTGGAAGGCTTCCCCACTGCAGTGCAAATCCAGACAAGCCTCATTCCGTGCTCCAGCAGCAGTGAGCTGTGCACTCACCCTGCAATGTTTTATTGATAAGGCTCCACTAATTTTGTGTTAGTCAGGCACATGCAATCAACCAGCAAAAATCAGATCTATAGTACAGGTGGTTTTAAACTGAACACTGAAGCATATGGCCTAGAAAATGCAGGACAGCTGGCAAGGCACAGCACAGGCTCAAGAACCTGACCTGGAGGTAGCCTGAGAAGGCAGAGATCACAACACACTCCATTAATACAGCGGAACATCTTACCAATAATGAAGTAATCAAGGAATAAGCAACTGGAGCCAATCCCTATCACAATTTCAGGCCTCAGCCCTGAAAGCTTAGGCAGTTTATAAATGAGATGCTACCAAAGGACTCCTGTGATTGTGAATATATAAGCCACTTCCACAACTCCAGTCACACACCTGAAGCAGCGAGGCAGCGTTTGCAAAAGCTCTCCCCCCTAGGAAGCCACTTCCAAAATTGGGCAGCCCTAAAGGTGTATAATAAGCATATTCAGAATCATCTGAGCTGCCATGAGTAAGTGACATCTCTGACTGACTGTTAAATACAGCTTTGTTTGTTTACTTTCATTCTTACCTGCTGATGTTGCCTGGATGCAGCTGTGATATGCTCGACAAGGGTATGTACTAATGGCTTGCACATGATCTGAAACAAAGAAAGACACAGTCTCTTATTAGTGGTTTGCTACAAACACGTTTGTTTTTCAAGCAAAACAGTCTCTGCTTCACACAACTTCTTCAGTAAGAAAATGCCACAAGAAAGAGAAGTGCCCAGAGATCAGCAACAGCTTATTTGAAAACTAACAGCTTTGCTCACACCAGCCCTGAGTGAAACCTTGATCACAACAAAACTCAGCAGCAAAACTCTACACTTGGAAAAATCAAGCAAGTATTTCACCTCCTGTGTTCGGCTTGGTGATGACTGAAGTCTGCATCTGCCTGACACTATGTAGTGTCAGTTCACTTTGTGCAGAGACTCAGTCCCAGGCAAACGAGAATACATTGAGTCAGACCAGACCATGTGAGTGCTTGGAAAAGTTCTAAATCCACTTTCTACAGGGGCCAGAAACAACTCTGCCAGGAGGAAACCATTTCTGGAGACAGGTTACCTATCCTAAAGTAGTTCCTTTAGGATGAGGGCAGTGATCATCCCCCTGTGCTGAGCACTGCTGAGGCACCTTGAGTGCTGTGTCCAGTTCTGGGCTCCTCATGACAGGGCAGACATGGAGGGGCTGGAGCATGTCCAGAGAAGGGAATGAAGCTGGGGAAGGGTTTGGAGCACAAGTCTGATGAGGAGTGCCTGAGGGAGCTGTGGGGGCTCAGCCTAGAGAAAAGGAAACTTGGGGAGGACCTTCTCTCTTTCTACAACTGCCTGACAGGAGGTTGGAACCAGGCTCTGCTCCCAGGGAACAATACAGGATGAAAGAAAAGAGCCTCAAATTGCACCAGGGGAGGTTTACATTAGCTATTAGGAAAAATTCCTACACTGAAAGGGCTGTCAGGCATTGGAAGAGGCTGCCCAGGGAGGTGGTTGAGTCACCATCCCTGGAGGTATTTAAAAGACATGTAGATGTGATGATTTTAAAAGACATTTCTACAAGGAACAGTCACATGGAATCCACAGGCTCTGGAAACCTGCAGATGGGATCTTAAGCTCATTGTCCATGTGGGCAGCACACAACCCTGCTCTTCCCCCATTTCACAAACTCGTGTAGGTGGCACCGTGGGCTGGTGTCCTAAGAAACCTGGTAAGGAAAAGAACTCTCTCCTGGGTGGATTCCTTCAGAGTCTGAAAGCATCTTCCCCCAGTTACACAAGCCTTCATCTCCTCCCACCCTCCCATCAAACATCAGTTCCAAGAGGTTTTGAGAAAGGGCTTCTGGCAACTGTCTGTAGCTCGCTCTGACCTAAAAATCCCCGAAGAACTGAATGACATTCAGACCCAAGGCCTGTTTCTTACTAACTCGCTGTCCTCAGAGTGGAGTCCAGCCCCAGGCATAGGTCAAGTTTGCAGGAAATACCTCAAATGTTGCAGACACTGACACTGCCTGAACATCCAGCTTGCATATTAGATTCCAATTAGTCTCTAGGCTCCTCAGCCCTCTTGGAAAAAAACTGAGAAACTAAGCATGCAGTCAGAGCAGAGGTGGACAGGAGCTACACTGGCTGTAGCTCCACAGTGGCCTATTTTGCCTTTGTGCAAACCTTGCTCATCTACATTGCCTTGAATACTAGTAACAAAACAGAGTTTGATAGGCTATGCTTGAGAGAGCAGATTTCTGTTCCCCTGCATTCTCCATGGAATATCCCAGTCCAAACCATAAATGAGGTCCTGGGATTCTGCAGTGCTGCTATCAGAGTCTGAGCAGGTGAATATCTTAGGAAACCTCACAGCAGTTTTTAAAAGCCACAATAAACCAGAATTACCATCATACTCTGGAGACAGCAGAAGACAACACAGCACACAGGCAGCAGCACTTACTGGGAAGCGTTTGAAGAGATCGTGGAACATGGAGCAGGTGAGAGGACTGTTCCGTTTGCTGAGGAACTCTGTCAGTGCCTGGCGGTAGATAACAGACACCTCCTCCACGTTTAAACAGCCTGGGTTCAACAGCTACAGGGAAAGAACCAAAAATTTCCAGTGAAACACAAGGATGAGTCACTAGCAATGAAGAGATTCATTTATCAGCGCACACAGACTTTCCCAACAACTAAATATTCTTGGGTAGCTTATATGATAGAGGCCTACAAGATATGACACAGAACCATGAAGAAACAACAAAGCCCCAAAATGCTCTCACAAGCACCAACAACCAACTGTACGACCTTGGCAAGGGCAGCACAGCTTTCTAGTAAGACTACACACACTGCATGTGGTGTGAGGGATGTACTCGAGGTCTGTGGTGGGCATGGCTAACACACAAGGCTCACAGAGCCCACCCTGCAGCCACAGGGCTACTTGAATCTGCACATATCAGTGCATGTAAATACTTAGATCTACATACACTTGGCAGCTATGTCCAGGATTCCTGGGTGTCCAGCAGATAAGTCCTAGCTCTGATCAGGGATCCAGCAATCCTGGAACTGTGTTCATGCTCCAATATCCCCCTCTGGTGGGGAACAAGGATTCCAGACACAGAGCAACCAACTGAGACCTGCACAGGCTATATGGATCTACATAAACACGGGTGAATGAAGAGCCAAGTGTGCAGCATTGCAGCCCAACATTCCTGACTCTTCTCATAAGGCCAGGGATGCACAGCTCTTTGGGAACAAAGAAAAATTAAGGCCCAGAAGGTCAAAAGTGTGATCTTCACGCTAATAGATGGGACTTTTGTGAATCAGGGATGCACAGCTCTTTGGGAACAAATAAAAATTAAGGCCCAGAAGGTCAAAACTGTGATCTTCACACTAATAGATGGGACTTTTGTGAACCTCTGCCCAAAGAATCTTTCCATGGCCCCGTGGCAAGTTAAAGCCATGTTAATGTGATGTCCTGTTCTCAGGTCAAACCCCCAGTCCTACTGCAGCTGAACACAGGCTAAAGTGGAACAGGGGAGATGGCCCTTGAAATATATGACTTCAGTTTCCCAGCTGATTGTTTCTACTTAGCACTTTTGACATACACAGCTGTGGGGAAAAAAAGTGTCTATGTTTGTATGTACAGTAAACCTTCTCCCATGTATAGGTTTACTGTAAAAAAATTTCTTCTATAGTTTCTCCATAAATTTGGCCACTGCATCCTAAGGTCTGCTCTAGTTCCACTTTCCTGCTCATTGAAAAGCTCCAAATGATGCCCACAAAGCACAACTCACTGGAAACACACCACACCTTTGTCTCTGCTTCCCCACTGAAAACCTCCCTGGCCTCAACACAATGTCAGCACCAGCAGCATCACATGAACTGAACTGTCACTTCCCTCAAACCAGCAGCTCACATCATCTCCTGGCTCTGTCCCTGCCTGGTCAGGACCACAGCTCCATTCCCACAGGAATAAGAGCCTTCCCTGGGAAGCTGCGCAAGGATGATGTGAAGCATGTCCCTCCCCACAATGCCAAGTATGTTGTTTATATTCCCCATGGATCTCCCACTTTGTTTTTCTTTCCAGAAAGGCCCAGCACAGCACAAGAGCTGCTTGGATTAACACTCTCAGCCTCTCGCTAAGCCCCAGAAACACTGGTTGTCTTTTCAGCCTCCAATAATACCTCAGTGTGTGCAATTTTCAGGCCCTCCCTTGGCATGAGGTAGCCCTGTTTATTTTTCTCCCCCACAGTATGTCAACAGGATTAAGACACCAATTCCTGAGCTCAGCTTGAGGGGTTCAGAGGCAAGTATCCAGTCAGCTGGTGAAACACTACTTGCTAGGTTTCTAGTGGAGATGACTGGAGTGAGCTGCCCAATACATAGCATCACCATATGCTGAGAGCTGCAAAATGCAGCAGAGACAGTAGGTGAAAGGGGACCAGACACTAAGGTTCCCTGAGTAATGGATACCCATAGCACAACCAGATGAAGAGTCTCCCTGCAAACAACTACCCCTGAAATCAGAGCTGTTCCACATGCTCTTCTCCCTGAGGTAACTCAGTCCAAACCTCAGAGAGGTGAAAATTCACTCACTCACTACTGTCCTGTGCCTCCCTGCTCCTCTATACCCTTTGCAAAAGAACTCATGAGTGACTGCCAAAGGCTGATGGAAAAAATAGCAAAACAAGGAGAAGAGCAGCACAAATATCCATCAGGCTTCTTTGGTCATTAACCTGGACTGACTGTGCCATCAGCAGCCCTGGTGACTATGGGCAAGCAGGCACTGCAGAGGCAGGAAGGTGAGGGCCAGAAGGGGATAGGGAATTTGTCAGCTTTATGGAAGTCATGCAACTTTACTGGCAAAAAAACACATCCTCAAGTGCTGCCTCATGTCCTACCTGACACGCCTGCTTTGCTTTGCTGTCGCTCTGTTTCTCTGGCTGAGGGGGAGGAAGAGTTGATGATGTGTTTCCTTTCAACACTTTAAGCAGGTATAATGAGGCACTGAAAAAGAAAAGGGGAGAAAATACCATTTACCACACTGTCACAGTGCCACTGCAAAGCCACCTGAGGGCAGAGGCCAAGTGGGCCAGGCAGCTTATTCTCTAGCAAAGAGGGTTATGGCATCCAAGAGGGCTCTTCTCTCAGTCTAGCCCACTCCTGCCAGACCTAAAGACAAATAAATCTTGGGAGGCTGCATAATTCCATTATCAGTCACCAGTCAGACATTCCCACTGTCAGTCTGGTTTGCTCAAGCTCATGCTTTTGACTGGCACTGCTTGAGGACTGCTGCATCCACCTAGGATTTTGTAGCCTGCATAGCTCGGCCAGCACTGCAGTGCAGCCTCTCATCCCAGGCTGCTGTGTGCTGGAGAACTCAGGAATATCAACTGGGAGGGCATGCAGACACACTGCTGTTTTTCAGCAAGGTTGTATTAACTGGGCAGGACTCCAATCAGGACTGCCACTGCTGGGAAGCTGTCAGGGAGCCCACACAGCCAGCCCTGTGCTGCCAGAAGTACCATGGTTCCTGCACAGCCACGAGACAGGTGTGCTGCACAGTCAACACTGCCTGGTGGCACTGGACTGACCATGCAACATAGCACCCACTGCATACACAGCTGAGTTGAGAAATCCCAGACTGAGTATGAAAGCCCTCCTGAAACTGCCTGCATGTCACAAGACAGACTAGTGGTAAATGACACTCCCATTTGCACCAGGGAACAGCAAGATCATTCACGTTTCCTAACAAACACACATCTGACTTATCCTACTTCACCTGTATTCTGTAGCAAAGGAGACGATACTGGTATGTACAGTCAGGACCCAATCATGATTGTCTTTACTGTGCTATCATGGAGAGAAGAAACACTGTATTTACAGAATGATCATTGCAGGCTGACTAGAAGCTACACTCATCCCCCACTGAATCACACACACTGCATTACTCCCTGATGAAAACTCAAGGAAGTGCTTCCCATCAGCAGCAGCAAAGCTGCACCAACCATTTCTGTACCAGAGAGCCCATGGAAGATGATGACCACCAGAAAATAGACATCTGTTTGAAAATGTCAGGCCTGACTAGTCCTCATGTAACATACAGATGCTGGCACCAAGGCTCTCGCTTCTCAGACCTTTTTAACATGTAACATCATGTCACAGTCCAGCCCACAGCACCCAGCAGAGATCTCCTTACCTGAAGTAATAGAGAGCCACTGCAGAGTCAGAGTGCCTGCAGGCTTTGTTCACAAGCCTCTGCACTAAAGCATGCACCTCTTCTTGCAGAGGGTCCACTCTCTTGCAGTACTGCTTGTTGCGGCACAAGGAGTTCCTGAAGGAGCATCAAAAACAAACACAAAGTCACTACCTACAGCTCTGGGGAACAGATGGTCTGGAACTCTTACCACTGGGCTCAGGGGGAGTGAGAACAAAACCAAAATATAATGAGTGGTAATAAACAATGCCAGCTGTGGGCAGCACATTGCTGTGGTATTGTTGTGGCAGTACGGGTGAGGACACTTACTGCTCTTCACCTTCAAGCACCTATTTAGGCATCAGAGTCAACTCACACAACAGGGACTGGTTGCCTCAAATCTTGTTGCTTCATAACTGCTTCTCAACTAGGGGGAGAGAGCAGCACTGAAAATGTTTTAGTACAGTGTTGAGGAGGTCAGGGTGGTGGACAGAGAACACATCATGGCACACACCATGCATTATGTCTGTCTAGTTGGTATCATCCCTCTCTTCCAGCTGTGGACAGAGAATTTGCACTCTGTCTGTCCCAATATTAACTTGTTGGGAGTTTTGTTCCAGTCACAGCAGCCACTCTGTAAGCCTTGGGAGCTGTTGCACGGTCTGACTCAGAGGTCAGAGACCTGTGGAGATATTCAGTGACATGGCACTGTGCCTGCAATACCAATGTTTGCTCTGGAGGTTTCCACCTGCAAACAGGTTTGACACTTGAAGTGCCTTAGCCTAGAAAACCCAGATCCTCATTCCTTTCCTACAGGTTATGACTAAGCACTGTGTGTGTGGTGCTGGTAATCTAATCCTACATGATCTATAAGCACAGCAATTGCCTTCAGCCTTACAAAGACCAACTCCTGGGGTTCAACCAACACCATTGGTGTCTATCAAAAGCCATTTCCTATTACCTGGAAGTCTAAGGACACTTACTGGAAGATACTTGCTGTTTTTCGAAGGAAGTCAACCTCCTGCTTGTCAGAGTCTGAGCTCATGCATTGTTCAATCAACTGAAGCAGGGGCTCAATGATGTCAAACACCAAGGGGTTCTCTGCTTGCTTAATCAGGAACACATCAATCAGATCCAGCACCTGAAAACATGGGAGTTACTGAAGTGAGAACTAATGCAGACAGGGAAACAAGATGGATCTACCCAGAGCAGCTTCTCCAGACTGGAGAGGGCTACAGTGCAGCTGGAAGGGGCTGAAGGAAACTGTTTGCAAGTTTGACCTGTATACCTTCTGCTATCATTTTACTGTCAGGGCATGAGAAACTGAAAATCAACAATTTGAAACTGAAGTTTGGAGGCTGTTTGTTGATTTCAGCTCTGTTTCGGGCAGTGACACCATTTAGAAGGAGCAGTTATGAGAACCACTGTCACCTGGCCAAACCTACAGTCACTATAACCTGGCACAGATCTGTTAGCACCACTGACTGACAGCTCTCCCCCTTGACTCCCAGACAGTGCATCAGCATAAAATCAGCCCTTTTACAGAACAGCATCAGAGCAGAAATGCAGTAAAGCCAATGGCTTGCTCCATGTTCAGCCTTCACCTCAGCTAACCTGACTCCAGACAGTTGGGTCTGGGAGCGGCCTTCACCTCAGCTAACCTGACTCCAGGCAGTTCGGTCTGGGAGCAGCTGGAGCTGTCCCTGGATGCCAGAAGGTCCCGGATGGCCCATGCTGACACCAGGCGGCCTGAACTCAGCATTACAGTCACCAATAACCAGAGGGTAATCACTATCCCCTCGATTTTACCAGTTTAACAAGCCAAAACAGGCTGCAAAACTACCCGAGGCACTTTATGCAGATCACACTAAGAAACATCAGGCTTGTCCAGTTTACAAAAACTGACAGGCACCTTTGGGAAGGTGTGGGGAAGGATCTAATAAATTGAAGCATTTCAGATCAGCAAACAGAAACCATAGTGCACTTTTTGAAAGCACAGTCCTGGTTCTAATTTTGAAGCAGACCTGTGAAGCCCCAGTCACTGACCACAACAGTGCTGTGTCAGGTGAGGTACAAAGCCAGAACAAGCCAGTCCCAGCCTCCAGGAGCTCATGACATACATGAGTGGCCAAGCTGTTCAGTGTTAGGCAGCTCATGGCATGCTGTAGACTACAACTAAGGTGCTAATAAGGCAGAGGTCTTCCCACCTTAGCCTTGAAATCCCTCCGTAGGATCTTCTCTTTCCGTATCCTGTCCTTCTCGTCCTTCTTCGCCTGGATCCGTTTCTGCTGCTCCGCAAAAAGGGCTGAGATGTTCTTGTCAAGAGCCATCATAGCCTCATCATCCAGCTCTTCATCACTCTCATCTCCTCCCTTTTGTTTTTAGAAAACAAAAATATGTCATCACATGTACTTCAAAAAGACAGCAGGAGAGAACCACAGCCAAGACCAGACTCAAGTAGGGCTGTAGCTACCTCCAGACCCAGAATAACAATGTAGGGAGGGAACACAGATGTTCAGGTCCATGAGAAATCTCACATTTCCTATCAGGTAACCCTGGCTGCACAGCACTAACACTAGAGGATCAGGAGAAGGAAGAAGCTGAGGTTTTGACCCTAACACCCTCTGTGCTATTCCTCCTTCAGCAAAGAGGTTTATATATGGCTCTTTCTGCAGCCTTTATCAGAATCATTAAACCAAACTATCTGTTATAAGAAGTCTCCAGATTGGCCTTCAGGGATCACTCCTCCATGCAGGCCAAAACAGGCTCCATGTACAGTGTCACAGTGCTTTAGCTCACATCAATCTCATTTATTACAGGCAGGAGCACAAGCTGTGTCAGCCTAGACTGGAAAAGCTAAAGTGTTCAAGATATACTAACAATAAATAAAAGAACAAGTGAATTATTCCCACAGCTCACTGAAGATCCTGACCTCCTGCTTCAAGTGGCACACAAAGTTGGCTGCCAGAGCTGTTACTGCATTAGTTCACATAGGATGTGGGTTATCAGAAACCTCCTGGTATATGTATTAAAGTAGACAGTGAAAACATACCACTGCATTCCCTGCTTGGAGAACATTCATCAGCTGACTGCGAAAATCATCATCAACTTCTTCATTGTTCTCCTCATCTCCACTGTCAGTGTCGTCTTCATCTGAGGAGTCCTCACTGCCTTCCTCATCCTGAGGAAGAAAAGTTCACCTCATGACCACACCATTTTTCAAGCTCTACTCAATTCTCAGGTGTGTCACTGTTCAGAAATAAAACCTCAACCTCCCCTACCCCACTGCCTTGCTTCCAGCCCTCAGCTTCAAGTAAAGACACCTCAGATAAGGAGATACCAGGTCTTCACAAGTGCTAAAAGCAGAACATAATACAGACTTCCCTGTCATATTAAACAAGTATCAAAGAGAAGCTTCCAAGGAACATCAGAGGTAACAGTCTTCATCTGACTCTCCTCTCTGCTAATGCCTGTGATGCTTTGTGACTCCAACCTCTGCAGTTCTTGAAACATGAGATCTGGATTCAGCTGTGCATTGCAGCCACAGTTCAGTCTGTGGCTGCAAAAAGGAGAGGCATGTCCTGATTTCAGGATAAAGCCATCTATTCAACCAGTCATGCCTACAACAGCAGGCCAGGAGACTCATAAACATGCTCTTCCAAAAAGCCATTTGTGTGCTGCACCTTTATAATGAATCTTAACAGAGCAACAACCACTTTCCTCAAGACAAAGTAATGCAATTAAGTCTGTTACCACAGATCAGAAGACACATTAAACAGTGAAGCTCCGAAGAGTATGTCACTGCCAATGGCACATTTCAGAAGACACATTAAACAGTGAAGCTCTGAAGAGTATTTGTCATTGCCAATGGCACAACAATTACCGTGTCCTGTGCAGATTTGCCCTTTTTCTTCGATTCTTCCATCACAACAACAGCACTTTCTTCATTTTCCTCTTGGTTTGGGTCAAAAACCTGGAAAAAAATAGATAAGTAACTTGTGGTTTTTTCAGTGTTTTGGTTTTTGATGCATTTCTTGTGTACAACAGACATTTCAGCACAGTAAACAGGTGAATAATGAAATAGCAAGTAAGGGCATTTCTGTTTGTTAATATGCCAAGTTCTTTCTGTAAGTCACAAAGGAGGTGGAGAAAGATGAAAAGAGATTGGTGACATCACACATTTTGGTTTGTTATCAATGAAGTATTAGGTTCATCACATAAAACCTGACAGCACATCTTTGGAAGCCACATGTCACTCTCTCAGAAAAAAAAGCACCTTACTTGGGGGTATGACCAATTCAGATTTTTAGTGTCACTTATTTTTAGCACCTCCAAGGTCAGCCTTTCTAGAAAAAAATAGTTGTGACCATTTATACTCACATATAAAATCTACTACTTATATAAACTGACCCAGGAATTTCCTCAGCCTAAAACTACCAAAAAGTACAGCTTAAAGTCAGCAGACCTCAAGCTTCTATTAAAAGAAACTAAAACAAACAAAAAAAAACCCCAAAAAACCATTTTGCATTTCAAACTCAGCAGCACATGCTGTCAGACATTGTCCAAACCAGGCTTCAATTTAATCCCAAAATGGAGACATGCTTGTATATCTGTTAGGAGAAAGACAGGCAAATAGCACAATGCCCTACTAGTGTCTCACTTACATCCAGGATCAGCTGCAAACCTCTCTTGGTCAGGTTAGGGCATATCCACACAAACACACTCTTGGAAATCCGACGTAAGAGCAGACTGGGCTGGGCAAGGAGGGAGAGGAGGATTTCCACCATCACCTCAACCCATCCTGGCTCTGAGTTGTCTGTACAGGAACAAACAAACAATGACAGGAAGGGACACTGGCACATTGATAACAAACTACAGAAATATCCAGCAAGGAATAAAAGCTTGTCCTTCTGGCTGGCTCTGAGAAGTACTCACTCAGCAACACAGACCAGAAACAATCCAGTGTGAAGCTGACCACTGTAGCTGCATTGGAAGGCTACAAACCACAGGGAGAAACACGCCTGAAACGGTATTTTGGGCCACTGCAAAGCCTTACCAGGTAACAAAACCTGCGATTCATTAAATCATCACTTAGATTAGCAGTTCTGCAAGCTGTGCAACACCTACTTGCCCACATTAAAGCAATCAGCAGCTACTCAGCAGAAGTACATAGATTTTACAGTATTTCCAATGGAATCAGGTGTGACAGCAGCCCATGAAAAATGACAGCACTAAAACTTGTCCATTAGTTCAAGACTTTGGGAATCCTGATCTATAAACAACTAAGCCACCATAAAATTAGAGCTTATGTTTTCACAGTACTCTCAAATTGATTTACACAGGCTTCAGGAGAACAAGACCACAGCCAGAGAGGAAGTTAAAAGACCAAGTCAGATTCTTTCCTGGTCAGGTCTCAACCTATGTCCACAGGCCCTAAAGAAGGACTAGCCCCAGTCAGCAAACAGGACACATCTCCTTTGCCCAGAACTCAAGCTGTGCAAGAATCATGTTTCAGGCCTGCCAGGTGTGAGGAGAGCCCACCAGTGGCAGATACCACTTCACTCAAGCTCTTGGCGAGCACAGAACAAGGACTCAAAAACAGTGAACTCCCTTGGGCACTGCTTATTGGAACAAGGGCCATGTATGAAGCTCAGCTATCCTTCCTGAGGCACACTGGAACACCACCCACTGAGGGTGCAGAGAGAGAGCTGGAGCATGAGATTTAGGAAGACCAGGAAACAGAAGGAGGAAGAGAAGATTCTCCTGGGGATAAGTGCATCAAGTCAGAACCAATGCAGAGTGTTTCACTACAGCAGAACTGCCATCTTCTGGCTTTTGACAGACCACTGACAATCCCACTCCTTTCCATAGGAAGGACTCACCAGTCTTTTTCTTCTTGACTTCTTTGCCAAATGCCTTCTCTGTGCAGTTCAGGAGGTCACTCAGAACATCCACTGTTTCAGATTGATTCTGTTGGACCACAAGCAGACAGTAAACACCCTCTAAATTCCCCACAACCACCAGTAACAGAAGGAGTACACTCCAAATATAAAGACTACTCCAAATAGGTACATGAGCTACTACAAGCCTTTTGCAGAAGAAAACATGAAACTTTAATAACAAGTAAAATAAGAAATAAGTAAAAATTGCTGGACTCAGCAGCAATCCAAGGGCAAAACTAACGCTCAGGTCAAGCTCTGCCTGACAGTCTCTCTGTAAGTTCAAGTCTACAGTCAGTGTAAGAATCACAGTCCAATAGCTGCTCATTTTCAGAAGCCAGAGGCTATGAAAGGTTGGATCTCTGACCACAGAGAAACTCTCCAGCTCAGTATTCAGACAGCTCAGCTATCAGCCCATTTCATACCATAGAAATATTCTTCAAAGGTCTTACCTTGAAAAGATGAATTGCCATTGAAAGCAGAAGTTGCTGGAAAGCACCAACTTTGGCACTGTCTGACTTATTTTCCTTCTTCTGCAGATTCTTCACAGACTGAAGTGTTCTGAAGAAAGAAACCTCTCTGAGTTTTTCATCATTACAACAACAAATCCTCTCTTATGATCAGACTAAAAACATGACCAAATCTGTAACACTATTCTGTGTACTTAACATTTAAGTTATTGAAATTGGACACACACACACAGTACACAACCTAAACCCAACAATAGTATCTCACTGTGTGTAGCTTATAGAAAACTCTGCACTTGGGCATAGCCTAGATTCCTCTGGCACAGCCAAGAAATAGACTTTTATAGAAAAATCAAACTCAAAAAAGAGTCAATGAGAAGTTTGTACAGGGATTAATAGGAGAAAATATGAGCAGAGTTACAATGATGTTTGGGAGAGGGACTACGAGCAAAAATAGAAAAGGATATGGTTAGCATAGTTAACACACAGAAGGAGCAGGAAGAAATGTGGTGATGAGAAACAGGCATTCTGAATTCCAGCCATGGGTGCAAGATACTCAAGGAGAAGAAAAAGAACAGTCAGTGCCTGTGAAATGGCTCTAAATCAGCAGCCAGATTAGCAGAGGATGAGAGAATACAATCTTTTTTACTGAACCAAAAAGAGATCAAGACTAGGGTTTTTCCACCTTCCTCATCTCACCAGCCCAGCACACAGCTTCCCAAGCCTCTCACCTCTCCCAGATATCCTTCTGTTCCTTGGTAAAAGGCTTCACAGCTTTGACATGCTCAGTGGAGAGCAGCTTGTTGGCATACTCAGCCAGGAGGAACATCCACAGCTTCCCATCTGCAGTCACACCATGGACATGCTTCTCCCTCAGGGCTGCAGCCTTTGCTGTGTCCCCCAGAACAGGCATGGTGTTTAGTGTCTGCAGTAACCTGCAAAGAACAGCAGCAATATGTTACTGCCACAGGAACCAGGTGACCTTCTCCCACTTTCCAAATTAATGCCCACCAGTAGAGCACACTCATCCCAGAGCTCTGGTCACTCACTGCAGCTCACATTCACAGGGCCCAAGTTTCAACCCATGCATGTAGAGCTCAATGTTTTGGTGTACCCAAGGACATTGACTATTATTCTCAGTTGTTTCCCACTCTGTGCCCCACCATGTCCTCTGCTTTCCCTCTACTGAGGTTTAGCAATCACCTAAATACACCTGTTAGTACCAACTCCATCTCCCTTACTACATGGAGCCATCAGCAGCTCACACCAGAGTGGATAGAAAGCCAACAACCACCAGCACAGCCCCACCACCTCCCTCTGGGGTCCTTCAGCCATCAGCAGCTCACACCAGAGTGGACAGAAAGCCAACAACCATCAGCACAGCCCCACCATCTCCCTCTGGTGTCCTTGCCCTTCCAGCTTTCAAGAGGCAACAGAAATCTTATCGTGAAAAAGCAGTCTGAGCCCAACTCCACACCTGCTTGATCATCACACACATACTCAGCAGGTTTGCCATGGACAAAACATGGATCTTTGGAAAAGCCATCCAGGATCTCCTCAGAAAAAGCCATTCCCTGGTGCTGGAGTCACAGATATGCTCCAACAGCAATTCCAAACCTCTTGCCCTGCCATTCACAGGCTGATCATATCCTCAGGAAAAAAAAACCCCAAGAAATTTTCAAGCTTAAAGCATGTAAAAGCAAATTCTTACCCAAAGAAGAAGTTTTCTGTCTCTGAATAGTCCCGTTCCTCTAGGGGCTCTGATGGAAGGACACACGCCTCACTTATCTGGGAAGTCTTTTTCTTAGCCTTAAAGAAAGCATGGAAGAAGCAAAACCTAGAATAGACAGAAAGAAGAACAAAATAAAGACCCAGCTTGGTCATAACAAAGCAAAACCAGCCCCTGTGTGCACACCAAACAGTGCCACATATTCACCACATTCTTACTCAAGGATGTCCAAGCACTGAGAAAAGTCACTATTTACAATAAAGACCATTTCCTCAAGGTACACAGGGAAAGAAGAAACAAATATGCTCAGAACTTCACAAAAGTGAAGTGTCAACACTTGAGGCCACACAATACAACACTCAGACTGTCAGATTTGGGTCACATTCTCCAAGACTTTTTAACTGATAGATAAACACTTACTAAGACCTGATATTACAAGCAA